ATGTTATCATTACTTTTATTAATATTATCATTATCATTTTTTCTCAAGATATCTCAAGATACTGCGAATATATTTTCTCAAGAATTCGCGAATGGATTATTGATGTTATTGTTTTGGTTAATTAAGGATGAACGATTGAGTTTTTCTTGATTTGTTGAGGTGTTCTCAATGGAATATCATAACAATGATAATGATAATCCCAGTCTTCGTAAATCAGATCACTTTCTCATCAGTATATATGTTAGGGATATGTAATTGTGTTCATCTATCTGTTTATTTACAACCAAAATAAAGCCATCTTCCAATAGCAATCATCGCCTCGAGGGTTTATTCAACTCGTTTTATCAGCTGGTCTTGAGATAATTCACCAACTTATTATACACACGTAAAAATCTCACTTGTTGGATGTTCGTTTTCATACATAACATCTTTCATATTTGCTACATTCATTCATAACATCACACTGCTTATTTATTTGTCTGGTCGACAATTACAGCTCATGACGAGTTTATGCCATCCTATTATCACCAATATCACATTCCTCCTTCTTTGACATTTTTTCACGCAAGTAACGGTATAGATGCAAGAAATCATCCATTTTCATGATTTTGCGATTACTCAGGTTCATATTCTCCTCTTGCATTCCACCCAATGATTTCGTGGGAATAGGGCCTAACATAAGTTCAAAAAGGTAAACTGCAATAGATGAGATGTTAGTTCGTAACAAAGTTAACGAAACAAAGTTCGTATGTCTACTCAAAGTAACCGTTCAAAACAATCACGAGCTATAAATTAGTATTAAATATTCTGAACCGATAGCAGATCATTCATAAAGAGTGATTGAATTAGACATAAGCGAATAAATCGATAGCAATCAACAAATTAACAGCTCCACAACCAATCAACAATAAAGACTGGTTGCCGTTCTTGTTTTGCTTAAATAGTGTAAGCCAAGTGGTGATAAATGATGTATAATAATGTGAATGAATATATTGCAATGATCCGCATATTTTTTTAATGACTGATTTTGTGAATGGTCATTCATATTCCATTGAAGTGCTTTTGCATTAGTGATTGGTACCGACTGAAATTCGGTTGGGTTTCAACCAACTTTTCGATTCGAACATTTTTTCTGATGTTCGGCAATTCTTGAAGTTCGATAATTTTTTGAACTGTTTGATCGAATTAGGGTCGAAAATTTTGAAGTTCGATCGGAGTACAGAACATTGGAATCTTAAAAATTATGTTCGGTTGGATTGTGACGAACCCAAACTTCATTCGATTGGTTATGAAGCCTATAATTAACTGCTGTTTATTCGTCTTATCGAAAAAGTCTGAGAGTGAGAAAATCCGATGGTAGTGAGTGAGAAACCACGATCACTGAAGCTGTTCATTTACAGTTATGAATTTGTTTATTATTTGTTTGCGTTGCAGTGATTCGTTCAGTTCGTTTTGATCAAAATTGCTAACACTGCTAAGAAATGTTCTAGTAAGTGAACGATACTAATAAAAGAGGTTTAAAAATGGTTCTGATAAATTCACCGAAAGGCAGTCAAATAACACCAGTCTCGAAGTGTGAATTAAAAATGGAATCCGGTGTTTGCATCAAGTATATCGCACCTTCGCACGTCAATCCACTTATCGAGATTTGTGCTGAGTGCACAAACTCAATGGAGACTGATTTGTCGCATACTGTTCCGAAAAAACGAAGCAGTTATGATGGTTGGTAATTTAACTTCTGAAGCGTTTATATGCTGTTCATCATCGTCGATTATTATTGCTCATGTATATGTTTATTCACCTATCTATCACCATTGGACAATACGGAAGTATTCATTTGTATTTCATTTTTATATTTAAGATTTGATTGGTGATAGTTCGTTTATGTGATGCATTGAACTGTTTGGTAATCTTTACAGGCTTCTTTTTAGATGACATGAATGGTGAGTTTTGATAATGGTCAGTGACTCTAAGTTCCAATGAAAAATGCTGTTAGCGAATGAAAATCAATGAGAATAAACGTTAAATGCCAGTGGGAATGATGAGTGATTGTGCAGAATAATAACGAAACCATTTAGCACTAATAATTATAATTTCAGCGAATGATCCATCAGATGACTGGGAAGGTGTGAATGCATTATGTCAAGCAATCGATACGATTATTCAGCATGATTTGACAGATATGGCTGTTGGTAAAAATGTTCTCGAAGTTAGTCTTATACATTATTGTCGTCATATCAGTATTATGATTGCCGTTGATATCGTTATCATAATTTTCGTTGTCATTCTTATTTTTGCCATTGTTCTTATTAATCAAACATCCATTGCTAGTTAAAGGACACAATGCAACACGCATTCATTCATATTGTTTCAAATAAAACTTCACTCTGTTTTACTGTTCAGCTTGGTTTTTGTACGGGTCTTCCATCGGTATTCGTGATGCAGAATGGTGCTTCTCATGTGACCCTTTATTGTGCGGTTGGTTGTTGAATTGTTTAGAGATTACTGTTATCATCGTCGTTATGATCACTGATATTATCATTATTGTAATTATTGTATGAACGATATAATTTCTTATAGGATGATGCAATGCTGAGTCTGTGTGTCAAACCAACACTTTCTCGAAACAGCATTGAAGAGTCACAACAAAAGTTCGTAAATGGCGATTTCGACCATCTTAAAGAATCGCTTGAAGAAAAGCAGTAAGTTGAATTACGTATTGATATTACCGATTGCAGATGAATATTTATCTGTATGAATTATTTGAGATGTATTTGTATGAAACATTGAATTTTAGATTCGATGTCATTCTGGCGACTGAATTTCTCAATACCGAGCGAGCATCATTTGAGCAATTGCACGATATCATTGACTACGCTCTAGCACCGGATGGCATTTGGTAAATTTATATTTTAGCGTATTGATGCGTTTCACGAAATAATTTATTATAATAATCGATACTACTATGATTGTTGTTTNGTGTATTCGTGTTATTCATTTATCGTTCATTGTCAAATTTAAATCGTGCTGCTTTCAGTCTCTTCTCATCAAGGATGTACTATTTCAACTGTGACGGAAGTTTACCGGAATTTTTGGAACTGGTAAAAAGTAAAGGTAAATTCGAATCATACACCAGATGGACATCGCCTAAGAGTGATGTTGTGCAAAGGAAAGTGGTTCAGCTAACAAGAACAATGCGATAACTGCACTCATCCAGTACTAAACATCGTACTCATACCATCTATTTGTTTACTTAATGTAATCGTATCATCTATTTTTTGCTTATATTTTTAATGAAACGATTTAGTGGTTTTTACTGATTCATTCGTTTTCTTCTATTCTTTAACACTCGTTTGATGTTCATCATTCAAATATTCATCGACATCAAATTGCTTTTAGGCTATTAACGAAAGCAGTTTATCGGAAATATTTCCGTTTGTGTATCTCCGTAACCACTGAATCGCTTCATATTTTTCAGTTATTTTCTGTCACTGTATTCATCGTCGATTGTGAAATACGCATTAATTGTTTTTTCAAATACTGCATTTTTATCAATTGTATCAATTAAATTATCTCACAGCTGACCTCTTTTGAAATGTATCTTTTGAATGTATTCTTTGAGTATCCTTTCATCTATATTCATTACATATGAAATTTATATATTCTTTAGCCATTGCTTTTTTATTATTATCATTGCTGTTATATTTTATTACAACGCATGCAATATTCATGAATGTATTAGTGAAGAAAGGTTCGCTAAATAACTGATGATCTTATTATTAGGTATGGCGGAAAGTTCTCGGGCAATTAGACCAAAAATTTCAAACCTTCATAATTCAGCTCAAAATCAACATTTCTATTCAAAATAAAAACCGTTCGCCTCCACACAACATTGGCAACGTGAGGCCAGGACTTTTATCCCCATGGTATAAAAATCGGGGTCCCTGGAATCAAAAAGTCGACTGACGCCAGCCTTTAGTACGTCTTGTTTGGGAAGTTTTATCCCACACAGGAAAAGTTCCAGATTTTTGAACAGATGGTNAAAAGGATCGGACCACTTCTATTCATCAGTGCTGGCCTTATTCTCAACAACTGATCCCTTGCCACCTCAAATGTATGAGAGTAATAGTCGGCGTCAATGGTCTACCCGCGTTTACATGTTGTTTTCGAAATGCACGAAAACAATATATTATCATTATTTCTAAGAACTGTTATAAAAATCAACTGATTTCTTCATAATTATAGTCATCATCTTTTCGCAATGCTGATTTTTACATTTAACAGAGGATTGAGGAAATTTCATCGTGAAATCATTTGGTTCTTTCATCGGAATATATTTCGTCGTTTTGTTCATCCAATCTTTGAATTGTCGGTCTTTTAAACATGTTGATTGCTCTGCAGTTGAGTTTCTATGGAATTTGTCGGTTTGGTTATAACGTTAATGTTAACATCGAAAAAGATGTTAATAGTGATAACTTTGATGATTGTATTGGCAGTCATCGAATGTAATTTATTTGAGTGTATCCGAATGTGATCAATATACTGAACACCGGTGTTGTATGCATGTGTGCATCAATTTATTTGCTGTAAGTACATTCGTTCTATAATTTGCCCTTTACAAAATCCTTACATATTTTCTCATATTATATGTACTGTACTATCTTATAAAAGTATTGAAGAAGACCTTTGAGCCTTAACGCTTTCATTAATCCCGTCCTTCACGGTAAAGGATGGAATTATCGGTTTCAAATGATTTTTCATTTGATTTTCTTCGGAACTTTGGGTGCTGATTGTTAATTGAGTTCATATTAAGCAGTGTTCAGATGACGGAAGAATGTGGTTTTGATTGATCATTCCACGTTTTTGAATGAAACTACTTGTATAAAGATTTGATAGGTATTGATCATGTTTTCAAAACGTCTCGTTTCCGTGCCACTAAACAGCCGTACGTCTATCTATGCTCCTCCTAATTTTCAGAGCTTGCTTCGCACAAGAATCTCAACTTCGAAACGCAATCTAAGACGCACAAATCTTTAGCGCTGATCGAAATCGGTGCATTTCATTCCGAATGTGCAATATATTAGTGGTAAAGCATTTTGTCGAGATAACGGCATTGAAGTGATCGAATCCCCCTAACTTATATCCAAGAAATCTGGCATTCGGCAAAAGAATTTCACCACTATTTAATCATTATACGAAAAATCAGCGATTCTAAGAATGAGGTTTATTTTTGGTGGTCACTGATAAGGTAAATTCCGAAAGTCAGTCAATTATGGTCGGTAACCACCGATTAAACCACATTTATAATAATGATTATGAGAATCGAATAAAAACAGAAAATTGCAAATCATTACGATGAATTATTTTATTTGCATTTGAATCGTAAGTAATCAAAGTTATCAAATAATGATTATGAAAAGATCAAGAGAACATTCTTCTTTACAGTCAGTCATTACCATCAGAGAGAAGTCAACTGAAGGTGGATAACAACAGTTTCCATAAACTAAAACATCTTTGAATAAAAAGATTTTATGCACCAAAAGTAACCTTTGCACAAATCGCAAAACCCAAAAAATGAGAAAACAATCTTGATTACAGATAAATTGAATCAACAGACCGCGAGTATTTCATAAAATTACTGTAAATGGGAAATCCATTTGAAAATATGAATTTCGAAATGAAAAATTAGGTATCTGATATATTGAACACTTTATTAATACTCATAGTTCAGTAAAATATGAAGAAATGAGAATCAAGAAATGAAATAAATATGAAAAGAGAGAATCAAACAAAAACGCGTAATCGGCCAAAACAAAATAACATATATACAAAAAAGTCAAAACAATGCAATTTTTTTAGAATGACTGAGTCCAAAATAGACTAAAAATAAATTAAAGAATAAATATTCTTCTATACAAAGAGCGTACAAACCGAGAAAACGTGAACGTAAAGATTGAGTTGTCAAATAATCTCTCCTAATGCCTTCTTAACTAGCAAGTTTCGACGAACGGAAGGTGCTATTTAGATTCACATCATTATGCAAAATAACTTCCATTAGGTGTGTTGCGGATAAATGAGACTACGTTTTCGACATTCCTCAGAGCAGTTGTATTTTTAGGGCCTCCAATTGGGGTTGTTACTCCGTCCGCAAACTCTCCAGGATTCTCGCGGATCTCGATTTCTGGGAAGGAGCTCATTTCAAAGCAGTCATCAAAAATACCTACTTNGAAAATGACACTTTTCATCACTATTGCACAGCTATTTCTGTGAAATTTCACTCAGTCTGGTCCTTCAGTGTTAATCAAATTGTCTGATTCAAAAAACATAATGTTGTTAAAACCGCATTAGAGCTTTGCTTTTTTATCCTAATGAGTACTTTGTTTCGGCTCTTTTCCGTAAACCGCATTCAAGCTTCTACTAGCTCCAGTCCAGATATCACACTTTCAAAGAAAATTCGGCGATCGAGAGCAAGGACATGATGAGCTTTTCCCTGCAATTCCCTTTCCTCGACCCTTTCCAAGGCGATCGCAGTTTCGGAATCCCCGATATTCCCAGTCACCGATTTCTTACCTTCCTCACAACACATTACATTCCAATTATAACTGACAATGAATGAACGACAGCTCTCGAATCACTGAATTCTTTATGCAATTTTCTGTGTCCCAGATGAGATCGTTTTCAAACTGATGATATTTCCACACGAATGTGTTCAACGCAAACAGATACACCATTATAAGAATTGATTCTACATAATTTGAAAATTTTCAAAAATTCTCATGATACACAAATGTTTCGCATTTATGAAAAAAACTGAAAATGTATTTACAGCATCTTCACATATGCATGCACGAATGTGAAGATAAGCTACTTTTCGGTTCATTCAGATTCANTTGTTCCCACTTTCATTCAAACATTCAAATAGGTGCAAAATGATCGACAAAATTAACTATTTATGGGAATGTGATGCGGTTGAACGCAATCCTGCTGCATACGACAAAAGGATTAGAGGAGTGAACTGCACTATGCATTATTGAGATTACTCGCACAAGAGACACAGATGCGTTCACGTTGATCGTTCGTAATGCAGACACATCGTCGACAGTAGATCTTACCGCATCGATAGCAATGCAGTCGTCTGTCAAAACGACTCGTGAATTCAATGCCACAGCTTTTAGCTGAACATTCGTCTGACTGTCGCAGCGATTGCCATCGTAATGCTGGATTTACTGTATTATCCTCCTTAATCATTATTCTGCTGTTTAGTCATTATCCAAGCCATTTCAAGTTACTTCATTACTTCAGATATTTTCACAAGTGACGATGGACACTCGAATTTTGCCTTATCAGTAGTCATCATTCGAGTCGGTGGCCACCGAAAAAAATCTGTCGGTTGCAAACTCTAATTATTTCCGAACTTGGACACAATTTGTTTCGATTTAACGCGCAAAACTTTTCAGTGTCTTCAGAGGAACAATTTCTCGAGTACGAACAATATGATCTCAGGGAAAATGTTGCCAATAGTATAAAAAGTCAGTGATTTTAACTGAAATAAAAGGAGAGCAATTTGAAAAACGAACACTAAATGCAAACGATGAATCATAAATACCACTTTCTTGAGTATCTTCTCGAATCAATTTCTCATCACTGTTGCAAACACCGCTCAGCGTTTCATCTGCTAATACGTAATTATTCAATCAACATTAAGTTAGGCGTTTTAGTTGAATTTTAACATAGGATTTGAGCTCAGATTGGTCTTGAATGGAAGTTTGCAAAGTGCGAAAGCGATCTGTACATAGAACGAGAGGAAACAATAATACGAATAAAAAATACAAATGAGTAATCAAAGTATTTCAGAGAAACAATGATAATGACATCAACAATAATAGTAATATATAAATAAAAACTAACTCGTCTGAGGGATTTGGGGAGTAGTTGAAGAAGCGTTACTCGAATGACCGCTATCGACCATGGCACCAGATGAGATTGGCTTAGTCGCTGCTGATGATAATGAATTTGATAATCTTAGTTCAGAAACTTTCTGAAATTCGTAATGGTTCGAATATTCGCTGCAACGCAACACCACACTTTATCCTATATTATTTGGTATTTATTTCAATTCGTACACTTCAAATTACTGAAAGGAAATACCATTTTTCTCAATAAAAAGAAAACAATGGAGGTAGATAGTATTTGTCAAGGAATGAATTAATGTGCAAACGAATAATGAATGAACAAACAGCTTGTAAAGTAGCCATGTGGGCCTCAAGAACCCCGATATGTTCCAGTGTTGATATTGTAACATCGGTTGTTGATTCTCTGGCTAGAATACCAGTATCGAATCGATTATACATTCCCTTCCAAACGACTATCGTTGACGGATGCAGATCTATTTTATTCAGTACCGTGTACTTATTCGCCTAGAATATCATTACCATATATTTGTCATTTTTTACAGACAGCACTAATCAAACTAATTCGCAGTCACTCACCTCATACAACGGATTCAAATAATCATCATGTCGATCGTCCAAATAAGCCCATAATGACTGCGTACGTTTGGATAAATGCAGATCCTTCAAACGAGACTGTCTTAGTCAATTATTCTGCTGCGATTACAGAGTGCACTTTATTCAAAGTGCACTTACTTTATCCAATTATTCAGAGCGCACTTTATCAAAATTTAGACGTTACCAACGATCACCAATAAATATTCCACGCGAAAAAATTCGTGTGAACAGCAATAACAAAGTGATGGAGATAATCAGAGACCTTTCTGTCCTTATCGCAATTGCCAACGAACGTGCCGTATTGACATGAATAAGCATGCTCGTGAATTTCAATTAAATATCGTTCATTAAATTCAAATGCTCGCGGCTGTTGTCTCATCAGCTGATATGTTGCATCAAGAAATTGCGTGAATATTGGCGATACCTGAATTCACTTTCACTTCATTGCATCTTTCTCGTTAAATTATTATCCATTTCCACCAGATATGCACTTCGTTTAATCATTTCTTGATATCAGTCTTATAAAAGGAATAATATTTACCTCTTTAGCGGCTTCTTCATTCAACGCACCGATGTGCCCACAACGATCATCAAATTTATGACCAAAACCCAACCAATCTTTCTCAATAAGAGTCTTAAATTCATTTCATCATTTGCCAATAAAGTTTGCCAATAAAGAATAACAAAATAAAACGTTGGTAAACAAATAAACACCTCAACTAATGCAATATATAACATGAAATTGAAACAATATTGGAAGCAATAAGAGCAAAACATCAAAATGAGAACGAAAAACCTGAAAGCCTCGGATGGTTCTGTAGAAGGGGTCAAGAATCAATTGTGCAATCGAGACCGTTTGCGATGTCCGATCCCAGCCATCAGAACAATGAACAACACAAGATATTCCCTTTGATAC